TATGTGATAAATGGGCGACATCCTGGGTATTTTTATCATTATTTTAACGTTTGGATTTACTAATAACTAAAATAATAAATTACATTTAAAAAAGATTACCGTTACCGTTACAGCCTATTAATAGTCCAATGCTAAACTTTGGGCTCCCCCATAGACACCATCATAGATAGAATATTTGCCAAAGTTGCCAAGCAGGTGAGTTAGCAACCGCCTTTTCTTCTCAGTTATTATTGGGAAGATGGTGATGTCCATCTCCTAGTTTGTTTCCCTCTGTCGCCTCTCATACAACAACTAAGGTATTATTAGACACGGGTTATTGGATATTCTTATACCGCCAATCTACGCCACCTCATGCACAGCTTAAAAAATTTAATTGTATTTTTATTCCTTAAAATCGTAACAAACTATGATTCAAGTAAGCCCAACTTGAAAAACACTTCCCAAGAATTTAATAAAGCACCAGAGCATGGCTGAAAATTCTTTCACGACTTTTCCCAATTTCTCGGCTCGTTCAATCGCATAATTATGATTTTGTCTTATTTTTTTTTTACGTTTGCTATGAAATGTTGGATTTCCTTATAATTCATTCCAATAAAAGAGTGATAATTTTATCAATATTTTATTGGAAAATCTATTTTTTTTTTAATAAAATCCTTCAACTTAAACGACATAATATAGATTTATCTACGATTAATAGGGCACTGTTTTCAATACCATCCCATCAAGTGATAATAAGGTAAAGATCTTACCTAGCTAATAAATTCATAATCCAAACAATTACACTTTTAGTGTTTTCACTCTTTAAACCCTTTCTTTTTACTTTTAAACCAGTGCTTAACTACAATCCTGCCTAGTAGTAATTAGAATCTACACGGAAAAAAATATTTTCCATTCGACTCACTCGTGCAATTTTTATTTCTTGTTATTTGTGTTTTATGATATGGAATATCAAACACTCAAATATCTTGAAAACTTTCATGGTAATAGATTCTGCCCACGGCTACGTCCGTGTTGAACCTTAGTGTTTGCTCCCTCATGTGTATAATAAATGAAACTGTAAATTACATCGTTATGCCGAATCTTCTTTATTGAAAGCTTTCTAATGCCTTGTGTCACGAGTGTATTTTCGTTATTACAAACAGTTCAGGTTCTTTGTATGGAGTGCGCATTGTATTACGCAACCGCTTCAGAAGCAATTGCTGCATTTTTCTTTAACTCTCTACTTCAGAATAATACACTGACATAACATTATGTTACCTACTTATGCCGATAGCAAAAATAAACAATAAATTTTATTTATTTTTGCTTATTATTAAAATAAGTTTAATTTAGGCGCTGCGCATACGTAAATACTTTTGTGTCTTATGCGGGAAACAAGCTACCAGTGAATATTTTATTTTCTTGTAATTAATATGAAATCGGCCATTCCTAGTGCAGGCGCAGATATTTTGGCGCTGATATAAACGTGGTTGAATGAATATTTACAACGACGACGTCTACGTCCACGTGTAATCAACACAACAAGCAAACGTAACGATTCTTACATCCATCGTGAAACTGATGGAAAACAATCAACGAATTGTTACCAGTAACTAGAAGTAGCAATCAACGACTGTGACCGATTGCCGCTACCGAATACAGCAACTACGGTTTCCTGTGAGAGTGTGGCGTATCGGTAACAAAAAGTATCCACGTTTGCGCAGCGCCTAAACGCTGATTTTCCATAAAATTAGTTTTATTCAATGTTTAGTATTTGCGCATATATAAGAAATCATTATTTTAATAGTATTATATTGCAAATAGCTTACTTTGAAATGTATTTTAACTTTCCGAGTCAAATATCGTATTGCTTTCATAGCTAACTGTTCTTCTTCATCATCATATCACCGTAACAGTCCTCTGCTGTCGTGTGCATATCCATACTTTGTAGGCACATTGACGATCATAATAGGGTAAAGGTCACAGTACCTACTGACTTCCACACCTTTGACGCTATGCTATTTGACATGTGTGTATTTTTATCTTCATTGGTGAAATTCTTATATCGCTATCTATTAGTAGCCGTCAGATATATCTCGCATTTTTACGTGGTAAAGCCATGCTGCAGCTACATTATGGTTGTGATACGTATGTGGCAATTCGATCGGGAAAGGACCACACTCACAAAATGCCAGCGTAAAATAGCAGCTCAATGCTGATGTGTTCCGTATAGTCAATGTAGGGAAGCTTTTAACTGTAAACGAGGCATTTCACTTTAGTTCTCAGGGGTGCCAACGCATCTGCATTATAATTATTAATCGAGAATAGATACTTTTAGAAACTATTCCACTTCTGATGTTAGTATTTATTATTAAATTATTTAAATAAAATAATGCCTGTATTAGAATTTACTCTGTCGACTGCGTGATACTTTATACTGCTAAACAGGTGGAAGATTATAGTTTCACAATCAATTCTTCTTATTTTATTTTATTATTTTACCCTCATTACTAACAATACAGATTTCTATGGGCCTCGGCATCCACATACCGTCAGGTGAACTATGTGGTGTCGTTTATTATCCTTATTCTTTAAAACAAATTCATAGTGCCTACGAGACGCAATGAGGTGATTAATTTACTCTTCGCTACAACATGGCGACAATTTTAATCACTTTTTCCTATGCCAAGTTATATTTAAAGTATCTAGTGTTTAGCTAATCAAAAAGTTAGCTTAAAATCGATTAATACAATTGTACCGAACAAATAAACAGAGATGAAAGCAATTTAAAAAAAACGTGGAAGTAAAAAAGGAAGAAAACAACTTATGACAATACGAATGTTGGTATAACAAAAAACACCATTTCATTTAATGTACTAGAATTATAGACCTACTAATTTCAAATTTTACAAGCATCCACAACAGACCCCACATTGCCATGTTAACGAAGATAGTGAAGTAACGACTAGTGTTCGAAATCATAGTCAAAGAAGACAAAACTGCAACAAATTTTTAAAATAATTTTCAACGGCAATGGAAGTAGTTAGTTTAGTTAGTTGTGTAGTGATGGCGTAAGAAAAATTACTATCCCATATAGCCCCGTGGGCGTCGTAAGAACCGACAAAGTGAAGCCAAGTAGGAAATTGGCATTCCTTATGAAAATAAATTCTGTTGGTACTCGTACCAAACCGAATATAACCAATATTCGGTCTTTAGGACGTATTCATTTTTATAACATACGCTTCGTACGCGACTTCCGGAACTTGACAACAGCACTACCTACCGGGTCCAAATGCAAATCCAAACCATCTAGGAACCCATTCAAACACACAAAAATCGATAGAGCTGTGTTTTAATTTGAGCAAGACTAACGAAGAGCATTTGATTTTTATATATGTATTTAGGCATTACTACTCGTATCTTTGGTATGTTTGTTAGTTACCATGTAACTAATGAACGGCTCGACCAATTAATGTCATTGTAGGGGACTGCAGTGTACTGTATTTAATTTACTGTGTACTATGACTGATTTTACTTTACTGTGTAGGGAAAACTATACTAGGGACGTTTGAAGAAAAGATGGTACTGTAGACGATTATATATTGCACTATTCACAAGCGGCGTTAATTAATTAATTATGTACAGATGGGAGTCTTCAATTGAGTATATTTTCTCTCTTGATGTTTTCTCTCTTGAGGTCTTCTTTCTTGATATTGTATGTCGTAGTGCCGCTACCGAAATGAACCGCCGAAATAAACAGCTTACAGCCCAAAACGCCCTTCTTATATTCTCAAAAAGAGTGTCTCGGCACGTGAGTGGTATTATAAGATGTGCCGCGCGCTGATTGGTTGGCGGCATCACGTGATATCCGGGCGGGTTGGGGGGTGCGCGGGGTGCAACAGGGTATGAAGGGGCGACGGGGCGGCGGCTCCCCTCGCCGTCCGTAACAGTCATATTCGTAATATATTATTTGTTTTGTCGAGGCGATGGTTCATAGTTATGCTAGGAACCGCTAGGTGACGTTGTAGTTACGTTATTATGAAATTCTATATATAAATACCATAATTACTCATATTAACAGTATAATTTTAAATTGGCTTAACGACAAAAATACAAAATTGGTAGCAAATAAATGATGTAGTGGTTAAATTATTAATAAATTTTATATTAACACTTTATAAAGCCTGGAGTGACTTCCAAACTGACAAAAACTCGTCACGCCACTTACCACCAAAGGCAGAACTATAGCAGACCAGCAATTATTCCAATAAATTTAATTAAACAAACACTAGTTTTATCACGACAGAATTAAAAAATCCATTAAATTTAGCATCAGGATTTCTATTCGTTAGTTCAGATAACAAAGTTGATACAGTACGTGACTGGAGTATCTTCATTGTGGCTCACTTCGTTTTATTTATTTTTTTACGAGGTTGACACTGAAAGTTCTAAGAAAACCAAAAACTGAACAAACTAGCAAGTTGTTAGTTTTATTATATCTTTTCAAAATAGTGTCCATTTACATCAATACATCGCTGCATCCGATGGAACCACCGAGAAAAGCACTTTGCCCACTCGTCCTGAGGGGTCTCTTCGACGGCATTTTGAAACGCGTTTTTTTATTTTCTTTCACTTTTTCTTTTATTTTCAGAAATAAATAAAAATCGCAAGGTGCGAGGTCGGGGCTATAGGGTGGGTGACCCAGTTATTCCACGTCTGACGTCGCCAAGGAGTCGATTGTTTGCTTGGATTGGATCTTTGATTGTATGATTTCTTTGACAAATCATTGTTAATTTTACGCTGGACAGTCTGGTCACTCGATGTTGGAAGAATATCAACTGGAGTCTCCGGATCCACTTGGATGGAGGACGTTGCATCAACGGTAACAGATCATTTGGTGGAATTTCACTGTCAAGTTGTAAAGACCGGTCAGTGACAGATGATGGTGGATAGTCAATAGCAGTAAATATATTCCTATTAAATGGACTAATACCGGTACAGGTAAATCCAGCCATTGCGTTTCAATCAGTTACAGAAAGAGGAAAAGCTTCTCTAACAATACCAGGAATGTAATGAATAGTCATTGTTCGACCAGGATGATTCCGCATCCAGTTGTCTGTAGCGGTGTTTATCATTTTTTTGAATGGTCCAAATACTGCTCTATCTAAAGGCTGAAGCTTGTGCGTACAATGTGGTGGAAATGACAGCAGTACTATTCCGTTTTCTTTACAAAAATCTAGAGCTGAAATAGATATATGCGATGCATGGTTGTCGAGCAGTAACAAGCATTTTTGATCAACTGTTGGCTTTACTTGTTTTTTGAAGTGTTCTAGAAACAGTAAAAATTCTGCTTCCTGCATCCATCCACTAACATTGCCAGCTCTAGCAAAACCAACAGGACCTTCACGTATCAAGTGGTCTTGGTATCGTTTCAACGGGTATACAAAAAAAGGAGGTATGTGTCCTCCTTGAGCATTAATCGCAACAGCAATAGTTACTAGTCTCCCACGTTCTGCTGAGGTTACTGCTCCTACTTGTTTAATTCCTTTTTGAGCTAAAATCTTACAAGATTTTTGGACAGTGGTCACCCCTGTCTCATTCATATTTCAGATATCTTTTGGCTCAAATTTATACCTATCCATTACGTCAGTAAGGTTATCAAAAGATTTACTCACATTATGTTCATTGAAACTCGAGTCCCGCGACAGGCTTGTTGCTTGAGGGCACCTCAAAGAGAGGCTCGGGTGTCGTTTTAAAAAACCCGCCAACCATTCCTTACCCGCCAATTGAGTATCTTGCCACTTTTCAGGAAATGTTTTTCCATTTTTTAACGCCAACTCATATGCTAGTTTACGTATTTCAGATGGAGATAACCCAAAATAAACTCCAGAGCACTCGATTAAATAGTCCTGTAGACATTTTTCCTCATCAATGGTGAAAACACGGTTGACGCAACGGTAACCTACACCTGCACTAGTATTTCCTGCTTTAATTTTTTTTTTATGTATCTATATAATGTTACATGACAAACATTATATTTTTTTGCTAGGGATCTAATTGTTGTACCATCTTTGGAATGCTCTTCAGCCGCTTTTCGGTACACTTCCGTGTCAGTAGTTCCTCGTGTGGTAGTTCTTATGCGTTGTCGCAGCATTCTGTTAAAATAAATACACACATAACAATATTAAGTAAATAAATCAATACGGGGACAATAGTAACATGTTACTTTTAAATACCAACTCCCTGTATGAAGAATTTAAAGTACTACGGATACGACAGCTGTTTATTTACAATGCCACACTCAAAGTGCACAAAACTGTAAGATCTCGCCCGGATTACAATGATTTAAGAAGCAAACGAACCTTTAGAATCCCCGTTCCAATCGTAAAGTCAGACCTAGCTAAACGTTGTCCCATCTTCACTCATCCCTTCATTTACAATAGAATATTAAAAATAATTGACCTTAGAGACCGCTCCTTTTCCTCATGTAAAACCTCACTAAAGAACATGCTCTATACTCTAACATATAATGACACTGAAGAGCTAATTAAATAGCACATATGACAAACACACACACACAAACACACACACTCATACTCACTCACTCACAAACTGGACTCGATCGTACTCATTCTAATTTCAACTATTATAGAGTCATCTACAAGCGCTATAATTAATTTTTAATTTTAATTGTGTAGTGAAATAATACCACCATATTATTTGTATTAGAAACATAATTTTTAACCTCCGATATCAATCATGTTATGTTAAAACTACCGTATAGTATATGTTTAAGTAAATGTTGTCCAGTGACAAACCATTTTGTAATATCGCATGCCAGGGTCCTGAGATACAAGCTGCGCTTAGTTTAGGACCCGCAGTTACCTGTGTTTTTATACTTATGTTGTTAAATAAATAAATAAATATACTTATATGTTACTTTTGTACCCGACCACATTTTTGCTAAAACATGAAAGATAACCTTAAAACGGAACATGCGAGACAAAAACGAATTTAAACACTGTGTAATAAATCTAATCAAGGGTTAATATGCAAATATTAAGATTGGTATCATCCTTTTAATACTACGAAAATATTAAAATAGAAAACGTCAAAAAACTTACTTTTGATTTGTGAAATCATATAGAGTCCTCTCACACAACCTAACAGCACGTGGCGCGCACGGCGACTGAATGCAAGTGAGGGGGCCGCTACCGGCTATCACCTTACTGCAGGGAAGCAGTGTTTGGCTATTGGATAAACCTACAGAGCATTTGTTACTTTCGACCCGCCGTTACTTTTGTACCTGGTCTCCCCTATAGTCCCGTGGGCGTCGTAAGATTCGACAAAGTGAAGTAAAGTAGGAAATTGGCATTCCTTATGAAAATAAATTCTGTTGGTACTCGTATCAAACCGAATGTAACCAAAATTCGATGTTTAGAAAGTATTCATTGTTATAACATACGCTTCGCACGCGACTTCTGTATCTAGACAACAGCACTACCTACCGGGTTCAAATGTGACTCCAAACCATCTAGGGACCCATTCAAACAAAAATTTCATCAAAACTATCGAGCCGTTTTTTTTTTAATTTTACCAAGACTAACGGACAGCAATTGATTTTTATATATGTATAAAAGCATTACTATCTTTAGTTTGTTTGTTAGTGATCATGTAACTAATGAACGGCTTGACCAATTAATGTCATATTCGTAATATATTATTTGTTTTGTCGAGGCGATGGTTCATAGCTATGTTAGGAACCGATAGGTGAAGTTGTAGTTACGTTATTATGAAATTCTATGTATAAACACCATAATTACTCATATTAACAGTGTATAATTTTTTTTTCGTGGGTAGTTGGCTAAACAACACGTTTATATTTTGCTCTTATTTAAATTTTAAAGTTTAATGTTTTCTGTTATTTTTGTGTAATTTTCTTGATAAATTATAATGAATAATTAGTACCACCCACCTCATGAGTGTTTTTCCAAGTTCATATACTTGTACATAATAGCATATATCATAACTGGCACAATCTTTTATTTTCTCTTTATCAGTGTCAATTTATAACGTAAATGGAGTCTTCAATCAAGGAGAGCATGGCCGACCTAATGGAGGTATTCCATAAGAGAATGACTAACTTTGAAGAACAGTTACGTAAATCTCCCCATTCAATATCCAACACGGCATCACTTGCTGCAGAGTTCACCTCATTCTAGGCTTTTGTGGTCCAAGCACTGAGCAGTCTACAGCAGCAAATGGAGCTCCTGGCTCATACTGTTGATCAATTGGAAGTAAGGGGTCGCAGGAAAATGCTTTTATTTCATGGTGTACCAGAGACCTCAAAAGAAGATACTGCACTGGTTGTCACAAGAGTTCTTAATGATCAGCTGAAAATACGTGACTGCTCAACCAGTGATATACGAAGGTGCCATCGGATGGGTCGTAAAGCTACCCCAAACAGACCACGACCTATTCTTGTAAAGTTTCAAAACCTGATATTACGTGATAAAATATGGTACTCCAAGACTCAGCTTAAGGGATCAGGTGTCACAGTCTCTGAATTTCTTATTAAATCAAGACACGATGCATTCATGGCTGCTCGAGATAAGTTTGGAATTTCGAATTGCTGGACTAAGGATGGATCTGTTTATATTCTCAGGCCTAATGGTTCTCGTCTTCGGGTCCTTACAGTGAGCGAAGTTCATAAGACTGACCAATGCCAAGATGCCTCAGCTAAAGTGATTGAAAAGAAACCAGCATCCACAAAGACCAAGAGAGGGGCCGCAGTTAAGAAATGATTGTGATTGTGCTTTATTACTTTATCCCTTTTTTAATGTACTTAGTATATGCAATTTTTATTCTTAACTTTAATTTAAATAAGTCTCGCTGCAATTAATTTACGCTATTTTAAGCTAGGTAATTTTATTCTGATTAGCACGTTATTGATTGACTTTTGCGTTGACCCGATTACGTGTAGCAATTGTTTCATATATAATAATATTTTGTTTATTAGTTGCTACGCTTTTAATCTTGTGCGGGTAAAAGTGAATTAATTTTGTGACAATATTAATACATTTTATGTTCACGCATAGCTTACTGTATATAAACTCGTGCTGGGTGTTGTTTCTATATTTCCACAGATAATTAAACATGTAGCAGCTATTTTTAATTTTTATTCTTTATTTCGTTAGTTTTAGTTAGTGTCGAATCGGCTACAAGTCTTTCAGCCAAAAATTGTAGTACACTGACAACTTTAATATTTTAAACTTTGTCAAGATGTATTAAAATAGTCATATATAATATTAAAATAGTTTGTAGGTAGTGTATTTGTGTAGCGATATTACCTAAATTGTATTTTTTTCCTCATTTTGTTTATTTTGAAATCCTGTTTTTTTTTTGTTTTTAAATTCTGTTATAATTTGTAATAACACTCGACTGGTGGGTGGGCATGATTGCCTTGTTGTAAGAAGTACATTTAATTTAGTAGTTAATTTTATTTTAATAATTTAGACTTTTAATTTAAATATATTATAAGTATATATTGTAATGGCTATTAATGATATAAGTGGCGATAGTGAGATGTTTTTCACTGCTGATGATGACAGTTTTTGTTCTATGGTAAGTGATAGTGGAAGTTCTATTTCCACTCCTCTCGCAGAGTTTCTTGTTTCGCAGTTTTCTGATGTCCCTAACAACTTCAACGTTGTTCATATAAATGCACAGAGCATTCCGGCCCACTTCCCCGATATGCTGACAACTTTTACTTGTAAAAATATACATGCTGTTCTTATTTCTGAATCGTGGCTGAAGCCCTGTCTTCCTTCTACCTGTTACAATCTTCCTGGCTTCCAATTAATACGAAACGATCGCTCGGTAGGTGGCGGTGGAGGTGTCGCCATCTATCTACGTTCACACATTCCTTTCACTATTGTCGATGTATCTGCACAACCACCGCCGCCTGATGCCGGTGAGCATATTTTTATTGAAGTCACACTATCTCACTCTAAAGTTCTTCTTGGTGTTTATTACTGCCCTTCTATGCGTATTGACTTCTTCAACTCATTCCAAAATATCTTAGATAAACTTACTCCCTCCTATTCACATACGATTATAATGGGCGACTTTAACACTTGCTTACTTAAACAGGATGCCAGGGCTTCTTCTCTTAAGTCAATTTTATATTCTAGTAATCTCTCTATTTTACCGTTAAATGCCACGCATCATTTTCCAAACTCGACGCCGTCTCTCCTTGACCTTATTTTTGTTTCCTCTTGTAACTTTGTCACGAAGCACGGTCAATATACGGCCGATGCATTTTCATTTCATGACCTAATCTTTCTATCTTATAAAACTCGATCTCCCAAATTTAAACCAAAAATGTTACTGCAGCGTAATTTTGCTGGCATGGATATAGACAGTCTTCGTAAGGATGCGTTGCTTTGGGACTGGTCAAATCTTTATAGCGCAGATAATCTGGATAATAAGGTCTCAATCTTTACTTCTGCCCTTATAAAAATCTTTGATGTGCATGCACCTGCACGCGTAGTCAAAATTAAACATCGTCCATCACCTTGGCTTACTGATGATATTAAATCTATAATCAATAAAAAAGCGATAGCTAAAGCTAAGTTTAAACGTAAGCCGAATGCGTTTAATAGGGAAAAATATATTAACATTCGCAATCATTGCAATAAGGTGTGTAGAGATGCTCAACGCCTTCATATTCATAAGTCAGTCGAAAATTGTGATACGGCAAAGGTCTGGAAATTTCTTAAATCATTGGGTGTTGGGAAATCTAAAAATAGTCCAACGTCAAAAGATTTAAACGTTAATGGTTTAAATAAACATTTCTCTTCTTCGTCCTGTTTAGATAACACTACTAAGGCTAATACACTAACATATCTTTCAACTATTCCCACTCCCAATCATTCTTCTTTTGTTTTCAAACCATTCTCTGCTTGTGACGTTAAGAAGAGCGTTCTATCTATTACTTCCAATGCAGTGGGAAGTGACTGTGTCAGTCGTAACATGATTCTTCCCATTCTCGATATTATTCTTCCTATTATTTGTCATATCCTTAACTTCTCCATTTCCACAAGTAGTTTTCCATCATCTTGGAAAAATGCTGAAATTGTTCCTATTCCAAAAAAAAGTAATCCTACATCCTTTTCTGAATATCGTCCTATCTCTTTACTGCCCTTCTTATCTAAAGTCCTTGAACGCCTTGTTTACACCCAGTTAAACAGTTTTCTTTGTGCGAATGCTCTTCTTAATCCTTTACAGTCAGGATTTCGACCTGGACACAGTACTATCACAGCATTGGTGAACATCACCGATGATATCCGATTAGGAATGGAAAACGGTGAAGTGACTGTTCTTTGTTTATTAGATTTCAGTAATGCTTTTAATACCGTTGACCATGATGTCCTACTCGGCATAATGCGCTCTCTTAACGTATCTCCAACAGCGATTGGTTGGTTTCAGAGTTACCTGTCTGGTCGCCAGCAACGAATACGTATCGACGATACGTTATCATCTTGGTGTAACGTACGTGTTGGTGTACCACAGGGAGGCGTTTTATCTCCATTACTTTTTGCAGTTTTTATAAACTCAATATCCAATAATTTAACTTCTTCCTACCACCTTTATGCAGATGATCTACAAATATATAAAAAAGCTTGTCCCAACGATCTCATCAATGCTATCAATGTCGTTAATGCAGATCTCGATCGAATTCTTGAGTGGAGTAATGCATACGGCCTTCACGTTAACCCAGCAAAATCGCAAGCCATTATCATGGGCAGCGCGCAAATGTTGGCTAAGTCTAGCCTAGATTACCTGCCTCTAGTATTTGGTAAATTTATTATTCCTTACGCAGATTCAGTAAAGAACTTAGGTATCCACATAGATAAGAATCTGTCGTGGGGACAGCACATCAAAGAAATTAATCGCAAAGTTTATGCCTCGGCAGCCTCCTTGCGTAGATTACGTAACTTTCTTCCCATTTCCACCAAAACTATGCTTGCCAAGTCCCTTCTCTTCCCTATTTTTGACTACGCAGACGTCAGCTATCTAGATCTCACCGAAGCTCACCTCGATAAACTTGAGCGAATTCAGAATTTTTGCATAAGGTTTATATTTGGATTGCGCAAATATGACCATGTATCTTTTTTTCGTACTAAGCTCAAGTGGTTGCCAATACGACTTCATCGGAATGCTCACATACTTCATCTTCTCTATAGTGTTCTCTTTAATCCTTCTTACCCCTCTTACCTCAAAAATCGTTTTGAGTTTCTTCACGATTCCCATTCGCGTAACTTGAGATCAGCAGAGAGTTTGAAGTTGAATTTGCCACTATACACTAGAAAATTTATGAACAAGTATTTTACTGTACAGGCCGTTCATTTATGGAATGAACTCCCATTGTCAGTAAAACGCGCACCATCCCTACCGGTATTTAAAAAACTAGTTAAGAATCACTACTTCGCACTTTAAATCATAACTTCACTTCCACATTAGCCATTAAATAATATATCATATGTATCATATCAATTTCATTTAATTAATTAAATAATTCAATATATATATATATATATATTTTTTTGTATGTATATATGTTTATAGTATGTGTATGTTTAGTATGTATATGTGTTTATTCTTTTTTATCTCTTTTTTTCTCTAACACACCAATTTGCCCTGCCCTTGTCATATTCGTGCATTCCTGTCCATTCATTGGTTGTCTGGAAGAAATTGCTATCAGCAATAAGACCGCCCATTGCATACTTCTTTTATATATAGAATTTCTGTAATTTATGTATGGTGTGCAATAAAGAATATTAAATAAAAAAAAAAATATTAAGTTGGCTTAGCGACAAAATACAAAATTTGTAGCGAATAGATGGTGTTGTGGTTAAGTTATTAATACATTTCATATTTACACTTTTTAAAGCCTGGAGTGACTTCCAAACTGACAAAAACTCGTCACGCCACTTACCGGAAAAGGCTAGAACTATAGCAGACCGGCAATAATTCCAATAAATTAAATTAAACAAACACTAGTTTTATCACGACAGAATTGAAAAATCCATTAAATTTATCATGAGGATTTCTATTCATTAGTTCAGATAACAAAGTAAGGCCACCATATTTCCTATTCTTTTATTTTCAGAAATAAATAAAAATCACAAAGTGCGAGGTCGGGGCAATAGGGTGGGTGACCCAGTTATTCCACGTCTGACGTCGCCAAGGAGTCGATTGGTTGCGTGGCGGTGTGCGACGAGCGTTGTCGTGGTAAAGGAGGATTAAACTGCGAGCTCGTTTATCCCGAACTTTTTCCAATACAAGTGGCAAACAATTTTTACTGTACCACTCTGCAGTAACTGTTTTTCGATCCTCTAAAACAATTGTTGCGTAAAGGCCACCATATTTTTCCCACGCTTCGACCTCTCTTCACTATATTTGGCAACTCCTCGGAAGGAAACACCCATACAGCAGACTGTCTCTTAATTTCAGGATCATAATAACAAATCCAGCTTTCGTCACCCGAAAGAATGTCGAACACAACATTTGAATCACCTCCGTTAAATCTTTGAACCATTTCACGACACCAATCAACACGGCGGAGTTTTTGGGCCTTTTAAACTATGAGGTATCCACCGGATTTTTCCACGTGGTAGAGCCATGCTGCAGCTATATTATGGTTGTAGCACGAATGGGTCGGCTTGACCGGGGAAGGACCACACTGTCACAAAAAACCAGCGTAAAATAGCAGCTCAATGCTGCTGTGTTTCGTATGATG